GAGAGAGAGAGAGAGAGAGAGAGAGAGAGAGAGAGAGAGAGAGAGAGAGAGAGAGAGAGGTGGGGGTACGCTAGCGCCGTGTGGCCTGGTGGGGAGAGGTAGTGGGGGCCCTCTCTGGGGGTTTCTGCGCTGTGTGATTTAATCTGGGTGATGCTCGGTCCCAAAGATATTGGGGGTATAAATTGGGTTTATTGAAAGTATTATTTGGGGCTATTAGTTGTGCGTAGTAATTGGGGTGGGTTTGTCTTCAGGCATGCAATGAAGAATTCTGAAGAAATGAGTAATTGGGGTATTAATTGGCTGAACGTGGTTATTTATTGGGGGTTATTACTAAGTGGGGTTATTGATTGTGGGTAGTAGTAATTGGGGGATTTGTCTTGAGGTATACAATCAACCGGACAGCGCTGATGGATGTGTAAGTTGTGAAGTAATTGATTGATTGATTGATTGATTGATTGATTGATTGATTGATTGGATTTCTTGTTATGTAGGAACGGCGCAGATGGTTGGTCGCAAAACGCTACGCTGCCACGTGTCACCACTCAGTTTGTACACTCAGACCGCGATTCATTGGCTCTGTTTATCATCTATCATCCGGTTGCTATGTTAGCTGGGTCCCTTCGATGGACTAATTAACAGGCTCTGTCCTTCGATTCATTTACCCTGGATTGATTAGCGTGTTCCTTTTATTAATTAACGGATTGCCTTTGATTCATCAACGGATTTCTTTTAATTAAGGGATTGCCTTTGATTGGTTAATTATTTAAGCGGTTTCTTTTGATTGATTGAGTTTCCTTTGACTGATTAGCTTGCTTCCTTCGATTGATTAATAAAGGGGTTTCGTTTTTCGTTTGATTGATTAATTAAGGGGTCTCGTTCTGCGTTTGATTGGTTAAGGGGTTTCGTTTTTCATTTGATTGGTTAATTAAGGGGTTTCGTTTTTCATATGATTGGTTAAGGGGTTTCCTTTTTTCCTTTGATTATAAGTATGGGGTTTCCTTTTTTCCTTTGATTGATTAGTGAAGGGGTTTGCTTTGATTGAGCAACTGTGTGTTAAAGTCATTTAATTCTGGAAATCCTTTACACAATTATTTTATCTTCTAGCAATCAAATGAACACTGGAAATCCTTTACACAATTATTAAAGAAAACCCCTTAATTAACCAATCAAAGTCTTTAAGTTTGGATTTATGTATCTGAAGATTGATTGATTGATTGATTGGTGGATGGATGGACTTGATTGATTGCATGATTGATTGCATGATTGATTGAATGATTGATGGTTTTGTTTAATTGATTGATTGATTGATGGGTGTGCTTCGATTGATTAAATGGCTTTCTGTATTAATCCCATTAACGTAAGATCAGTTCATCCTTTTTTTTAAGAATTATAATCATTTAAATAAGTACTGACTGTAAATCTTGTGTCATCTATGGCCACGTCAGCTCTGACGTGTACCGTGTCATGTGCTCAAATTAAATTGCTGAATTGCAATGTAGTATAACTTAAAAAAAAAAATCGATAGGACGAGTATGACTAGAGGCGACAAGAGGTGGCCGACTGGGAGTTCTTTTTTTGGTTGTTTTCTTAATAATTCGGGCACTGTTTTCCAACGCTTCGTTTGCTTTCTTTTTCTTTTTCCCTTTTTTTTTCTCCTTTTTTTTTTTCAATCAATCGGCCTTCTTTCTTTGGGGACGTATGGAGGCCCAGGAAGAGACGAAAAGTGGGCGAGCAACTTCTTGCGCGTGTTAGAGAGGGAGAAGACGGGAGTAGAGAGAGAGGCGGAGGGGGGGGGGGGGGGGGGGGGGGGGGGAAAAGGGGGGGGGGAAAGGGGTGAAATAAGAGGGGGGGGGGAAGGGGGAGGGGGGGGGGGGGACTTTGGGTGAGGGAAGTGTCCGAGAGAAGGGGGAAGAAAAAGGGAAAGGAGGTTGGGGGAGGAGGAAGGCGTTGCGGGGGGAGGGGGAAGAGGGGGACAGCGTTGCGCGAGGAGGGGGAAGAGGAGGAACGTGTCGGGATACCCCTGCAAGATCTCGACGTGCTGATGAGAAACATGACAACGGGAGGAAAGTGGTCGAGGGAGGAGGAGAGGGAGGAGGAGAGAGAAAGCAGGTGGATCGTAATTTTGGCGGTCCCGTTGTCATCGCACCACGTGGCCGTGTTGTGGACGACGACGTTTGGGATTGGGACACGTGGCACGACGACGTGGCACGACGGAAGACGTCCTTAGAGAGGTTGCACTCAACGCTGCTTGAGGTGGGGCTAAGATGGGGTTAAAAGGTGATGACAAGGAGAGAGGGAGGGGTGGGTCGGGGGAAAGGGAGGAGGAGGGGATGGCGGGATGCTTTGTGCGAAAGAGGGTGCACGGGGGTTGGAGTTATCGGGGTTGGAAGGTGTCAGGGTCTTGATTGCCCCGTCAGCATGCGGAGGTGGTTTAATTAATTAGAACCTTGACTGTCAACTGGCATTGCTGTCGACGATCGAAGGAGGAGAAAAAGAGAGAGAAGATGGGGTGGAGAAGCGCGATCTCAGGTCTGCCACGTGGCAGCGCATATGATAGGCGAAAAAGGGCGGGAGGAAGTGGCGGGAAAGTCACGATTGACGTTTTGCCACGTGGCTGCCCATATGGTAGGCAAGAAACAGAGGGAGGAGGAGTTGGGAAAGTCGACAGGCAGAGGAGGAGAAGGAGAGAGACGATAGGGTGGAGAAGCGCGATCTCACGTCGGCCACGTGGCCGCGCATATGATAGCCGAAAAGCGCGGGAGGAAGTGGCGGGAAAGTCATGATTGACGTTTTGCCACGTGACTGCCCATATGGTAGGCAAAAAACAGAGGGAGGGCGGGTTGGGAAAGTCGACAGGCAGAGGAGGAGAAGGAGAGAGACGATGGGGTGGAGAAGCGCGATCTCAGGTCTGCCACGTGGCAGCGCATATGATAGCCGAAAAAAGGCGGAAGGAAGTGGCGGGAATGTCGTGATTGCCGTTTTGCCACGTGGCAGCGCATATGGGAAAGTCATATGGGGAAGTCGTGATTGGCGTTGTGCCACTGGGAAGCCTGATTTCCGTTATGCCACGTGGCCAGCATGGTTTCACTTGTGCCACGTAGCCAGCGTGGTCTCACTTGTGCGACGTGGAAGCGCACTGGACACCGATGAGGAGAGAAGAAGAGAAGAAGATGAGGTGGTGGGGAAGCGCGATCTCAGTTGTTGCCACGTGGCAGCGCATTTGACAGTCAGAGAAGTTGGGAGGATAAAAGGAGGTGGGCAGGGCGTTGATTTCTGTTATGCCACGTGGCGGTGCAGTGGAGAAGCAGTGGCAGGGCATTTGACAGTCAAAGGTGGGGAGGAGAGGAGGAGGTGCGGAAGGCGTGGATTACTGTTATGGCACGTGGCGTCACATTTGAGAAGCAGAACAGCAGGAGTAGAGATGTCACGATTTCAGTCTGACCACGTGGGAGCCCATGAGACAACCCGAGAAGAAGGATGAGGAAAAATTTACTCGAAAAGCGTACTTCAGACACGGGGGGTCACAACTTGTCTCATGGACTGCCACGTGGCCAGACTGAAGTCAAGG